AGACTGAAACAAATACAGCAGTCGGGGAAGAATATTTAATCTGATTGATTCAATCCTGGAGTGTAGGTCCAGAAACGGAATAATGTTCCATCTTTGTTTATCTGATTATATAGATTCATTTAGCGGGGCATTGTTGGCATTGAACATTTTGGTGAAGTCACGATGTATTACCACCCCTAGATACCTAATGCTATCTGCATCCCAATTCCATTTATAACGATTCTTAATTTCGACTGGTGGTTCATAGTTTAAAGTTAATACCTGCGTTTTATTTACATTGACCTTATATCCCGATAAAGAACCATACTCTGATAGCGCTTCCATGATTTGGGGGAGTATAAGGATAGGGAGATAGGATAATGTTAAAAGTAAGTCGTCAGCAAATAATGCTAGTTTCTGTTCCCCTCCTGGCGTTCTTACTCCTGTTATATCCTGTCTCTGCCTGATCCACTGACTTAATGGTTCTATAAACAAAGCAAAAAGCAGCGGTGAAATGCAGCAACCCTGTCGTGTCCCTCGTTCCAATATAAATGGTTCGGTGAGGTCTCCATTGATTTTGATTTTAGCTGTTGGTTTGTTGTATAGCCCTGAAATAATATCAAATATAGATTTATCAAAATTAAACTTCTCAAGCACTTTGTATAAAATGGACCATCTCACTGAATCAAACGCCTTCTCGGCGTCTAAACTTAACACTAAGGTCTCTAATTTTTGTTTGTCAACTTGCCTCAATACGTGCAAAATCTTTCTGATGTCGTCCTGGGCCTGTCTCTGTTTAATGACACCCGTTTGGTCATTATGTATTAACCCAGGTAATATCATTTCTAGTCTCTTAGAGATAATAGATGTAAACAACTTAGTCAATATTCAATACACTGATTGGGCGATAGTTACTACACTCTAATTTATCTTTTCCTTCTTTTGGTATAATGGAAATTATTGCTTCCCTCCATGAAGAAGGGATAGTTTTCTTTTCCATTACCCAATTAAATGTCTTTATCATGGTGGGAGTCAAATAATCCTGCATTATTTTATACCATTCTGGGCCGAACCCATCTGGCCCTGCCATTTTCCCTCCCTTTAGTCTTTTAATTGCCAAGTAAATTTCTTCTTTAGTTATTGTGGACAACAGCATTTGATTTTGTTCCTCTGTCACACCTTGCAACTTTAGACCTGACAGGAAGGTATTGACAATAGAGTTGTTATCTACAAAGGGTTGGGAGTAAAGTTTTCTGTAGTAATTCTGGAAGCATAGTTTAATTTCCCCCAGTTCAGTTTCTATTTGTCCATTAAGAGGATTCTTTATTCTATGTATAGTCATCTCTGCTTGTTGCTTCCTAAGTTTAAGAGACAGAAGTCTTAGTGATTTCCTCCCTACCTCGCATTGCTGTTGTTTAATAAAAACGAGTTTCTTCTGTATATCCATCGTATTTAGATCATCTATTTCTTTCTTAAGTTTTATTATGTCAGATTTAATATCATCATCCAGCGTCACAGAATGTAGATGTTGTAGCTCTAACAATTTGTCTTCTAATTGACAACGGTTTTCCCACCTTGATTTTTTCAGATAAGAGGATATACTAATTATTTTTCCTCTAATCACTGCCTTCAATGCATCCCATAATATTCCTGGAGATACTTCCTCATTTTCATTATACTCTAAATAAGTTTCTATTTCCTCTTTCAAACTCTCTTTAACGTTTGGATAATTTAAAATGTTTGTATTCAGCCTCCATAAGGTTGATCTATTTTTGCTAATCAGGCAGATCTCAAGATAAACCGGGTTATGATCTGAGATGGTACAAGCGCCTATTTCACAGCTTTTAATTCTAAATAGATCATTCTTAAACATGACAATATAATCTAGCCTAGAATATACATTGTGTGGAATTGAGAAGTGGGTATACCACACATCTAGTAGTCCAAAATCATCCATAAAGTGCACCATTCTTCTTCCAATACTCCTCTGATCGCCTTTTCCATTTGAAGAGTCTTATTTGGCATTTAATGTGACGTTAAACTCACCACCGTAAATGGTAAATGGACTGGTTCTTATACAGCGCTTTTCTACTCTTCTGAGCACTCAAAGCGCTTTACACAACTTGTGCATTCACCCATTCACACCCATTCGCACAAGCACATTTTTCTAGGTGCTTTCTAATGCATCGATGGATGCATCAGAGAACAATTTGGGGTTAGTATCTTGCCCAAGGATATTTGGCATGCAGACTAGGGGAAGCCAGGAATCGAACCACCAACCTTCCGATCAGTAGATGACCTGCTCTACCGCCTGCGCTACAGCCACAGCCACAAATGAAAATTCCCTGACTCCTTGTTGTTGCCAAATTTAAAATCTGCCCATATAAGGACCAATCACTGCCTGGGGGAATATACACATTTAAGAGAGTAATCATAATACCCAGAATTTTACCCGTTACCTATATATATCTGCCTTCCTTATCTTTATATTCCGAAATATGTTCATAGTTCAAAGCTGAGGATATCAAAATCGCCACCCTCTTTTGCCTCCCAGAACTATGGGAGGAATAGAAGACATGTTTGAAACCTAGTTTGTTAAGTTTGTGCATGATTTTTGTCAGCTAGATGTGTTTCCTGCATCAGAACAATTTGGGCTTTGTCCCTTTTAAACTTAGATAAAGCTTTCCACCTTTTCACAGGACTATGTAAGCCATTGATATTAATTGACAAAATTTTTATTAACCTGCCACTCATCTAGATTGTATTTTCTATGACTATTATACACAGTTTGGTTTGCTGCCTGCACACCCTTATAATAACTAAACATACAACTTATGAAAAAAAGTTTCATCAGAAAAAAGCAAAAATCTAAATAAAATCTTAATTTCCAAGGTAGAGGTCCCTGAACTGGACCCTGCTTCACCTCGAGAGGCAGCTTCCTCATCGGTCTGTGAAGGGAGGCTCTCGATGGTTTAGGCCTCACCATAAAGAGCATTCATGAGAGAACCTATTTATCTATGTATCGTATAGCGTATAGTAAACTAGCACAGTTTTCTTAAAAGTTTCATAATCTAAACTCTGCTCAATAGACAGGCTTGAACACACTTCTTGGGGTTTTCCCACAAGCTTACATTGGAGTAAGAGGGACCAAAACTCTTTCGGCCACTTCAAAGCAGCGGCTATGCGCTCCAATGCACTGAAATAGGAGTCTACCTCAGACTCACGAAACGGGGGAATCAATGTGATGTGCTTACTTGTATCAAAACTAGCAGAAGAAGAAACACTTGTGCTTGATGACGTTGGGGAACCTTTAGCTGAGCCTTTTTCAAGCTCAAGAGCTCTGATACGGAGTTGCATAGCTTTCACTTCTTATGCGGAGCGTGAGGCGCAGATCCTTAGTTGACGTACCTTCACTGGATTCAGAAATCCGATCAGCCTCCGTGCCAGCAGCAGACGCATCAGCTGCATTAGCATCCGCTTCAGATGCAGTGCCATCTGCCTCTTTCACTGGCTTGTTTTCAGCATCCCCCCGTGGTAGAAGCACACCTTTCTCCACTAGCTTTTCAGCCAGGGTTTCCTTCAACTCTGCCTTGCGAGCACTGTAAGACACTTCCACATTATTAGGAGTTAGCCACAATTAGCAGGTCTGCTTTCTTACATTTGTCAATTTTTTCCCATGAAGGTGCCTCCACAAAATTTTCAAGTGAAAAATCCATTCTCACACCCTCCCCCCACACACAAAAAAATAAAACTGCCAACCAGAACAGAACACGCCAACCCAACTTACCAAAAAGCGAGAAAAGACACGGAACAATTATGTTATGGCCCGTCTAGGCGCGGCCAGACCACAACATAAAGGGTGATCCATCCCCGTCCAACCCCAAGCAGCACGTCGCACAATTAACACTTTGTGACAGTGATTTATTTACAATGAGTGAATTTAAAAACAGAGAAAGGGAGCAAATTATAACTTCGGGGTGAACCCAAGGCCAAAACAACAAACAAAAGGTAGCCTATCTCAGGAGTAAATAAAACTTACCTAGTCAAAAGAACTAAACCAAACGACAATTACTTTCCTCCCTACCTAACAAATACAGGAGAAAACTAATCAAATAAAAAAGGCTCCTACATTAAACCAACATAGTTAAACAGTGAACACACGGTCTGCCGGTTGGGTTGAGCCGAGGATGAATGACCTGGCAGTCTCTGGCGGTGTCTTCTTATGCGCTGCCTCCCGGTCATTAGCCAATCGGTACGATCCGTCCACCCTGGATGCACCAATCATGGAGGAGCACCTGCACACTCAAATTTGCATATTAAAATTACGACAACAGCCTAAACATAGATGTCAAAGGACTGGAAAAGAGCTCAGTGCCATCAGGAGTAATTGTAGTAATGACACTAAGCTGGTGTTGTATTTCTTTCCACCAGGTACTCTCACCCACGAGAGCCTACATACTGGAGCCGGCAGTCTCTGAGCAGCCCCAGTCCAGTAGAGACAGAGATGGACCTGCTGGTGCTCAGGGAGAGATCCAGGAGGGGCATCCGCAATAATGGCTATGATGTAAGTGACTGGACAACAACCTTCTGAAACAGTAAACCAGGAATGGGGTCAGTAGAGCAGATCCAGAATAAAGCCAGAAACTATAGCTTGACCCAAATTGTAATATGTGAGTATAGGTCTATATAACCTGTGTATTATAACCAAGAGTCCAGACTAAACCAAGGTCTGTGACTTGAGGATGGAGGATTTCTTTGTGAATCTCTGGACTCAGATAAACTTACTGAGTAGTAAGAAAAAGCAAAGCTCTTAAGTCTGATTCTGTAACGAGCTGTAATATAGCAGCTCAGGTCCAATCTCAGAACAACTGAGTGCCATAGAGCGATGACGAAATGGGTCACTTGATAGTTGTAGGAAAGTAAAGCGCTGCCACTTTGTCACACTAATAAAATAATCTCTTGAGAGCGTTCTAACTTTAATCCTTCTTTTCCCTTCCTTTCCTCTCCGATGCTTTTAGCTCTGACCCAGTGGATTAACAAATTACCTTTTGACGAACCTTATAAACCTGCACAGACACAGAGATGAAGAAAAATAAATTAGGTAGAAAAGAAGAAAATGACAAAAAGATTAGAGAGAGCACAATTCCTTCATTTTTACAGTAGCCAACAGGGGTGAAAAGGCAGAGAGGAGGAGAAAAAACAGGGACAGGTAGAGCATCGTGAGTGAAGTCTCTTTATGCCGCTCCTCTGACGCACCATAGTAACAGCAGCGACCGTGATACCTACCTGAATGTCAATGACTCTGAATATGATTATAGCCTATTCATGGATTCAGATGGGAGACTTGATAGCAGTTAATAGCCTCGGATGCACCAAACGGTTTGGAAGGAGAACATGGTGTGTTTGTGCACGAGCGTGTGTGTGCGCAGACAGGACAGAAAAGCAATGTGATCAGAATCCCTTATCACTTTTGTTTTCATGCTTTAGAACGGTTGAGACATATTAAAGCTGTATTAGCGATGTTTGGATTTATGAGTGGCTATTATGTGGTTTGTGGAATCTATTCCTGTGGTTTTGTACAATGGTTAGGTCATAATTTAATAATATTCTTTATCCAACTTTTAATGGAATCCTGATGTGGTGATGTGATTATGTTTTAATGTCTTGTTATTCATTCATTCATCTGTTAGTCTAATTAATTAATGCAACATTTAATTAAAAACTGATACAGTGGGTTATTTTAGTTTTTGTTACACACGTCTTACATTTATCTGATGAAAGTCTTTTTTCCTATGTGACGTTTTAACACAGCATAGTCACAAACAGCTGCAGTGGTTTAGCTAATCTGAAAATCTAGGGGAAAAAAAGCCAATTTTTATAAGGTAATAAATATATTTAGATGTACAGTTCTATTTGGGAAAAAGGCAAAGAATATTAAATATAGATTTGATGCTGATCTCTACCCTGTTAAATGTCACAGAAAAACATTTACTGCTATTAAAAACTAATTTGTTACATTTAACCACATTCTTGTGCTCCCAGAAAACAACTGTTTCCATTTATCTTTGCATATGTCCGTAGCAGTTACTCACTTACATTACTGCATAGTGAGTTGATACTTGTAGTATTTCCTCCACCACAAAACCAGCAACAGTCTTGCTGCTCCTGATGTTCCTTGGAGAGTTCGGGCTAAAATCGAATTTTAGAGCTGCAGCACCGCCATCTTTCTTCTTCTCAACGGACTTTACCCACATTATTGTGGAGCTGTGATTAGCCTCAAGATGCTGCTTCAAAATTATAATAATTATTATCACCCTTGCATGAAATGAAGTGTGAATACCTTCCCAATATAATAACCATCTCGTCTCCCATGACAACCTTTAAATGCACAATGACACAACTGTAAGATTTTGCTACAGCACAAATGAATTACTAAAATAAAAGTATAACTTATTTGCTTGTGTTACCAGAGAAATATTCTCCTGTTTTTTTTCTTATTATAGCAAGACTAAGAAACTGATTCACTTTGTTGGGAACTATATTTTGTGCTTGCAGCACGGGGACATGAGCAAGCAAATAAACGGTCTTTGGATACCTGGTAGTCTCCGGTGTAAGCAATGAAAGGATCCATTTGACCACCAACTCCTCCATTCATTCCTGTAATTGTGGAGCATTTTTTCGCTCTAAAAGCTCAAAATATTAATTCAATGTACATGGATGCAAATTCGTCCATATGAGATTGGACAGGTTTGTGTTTAGGAACATAAAAATAACGCTAGAAAATCTGTGTCCAGGGACAAGAAAATTCTAGAAAGAAAAAAAAATCAATAGATGACAGCTGTGAGACTTTTTTGTTGACTAGTACACGACGTCGAGGGGAGACAAACAATGAAACTGCATCAGGATTTTTTCTTTTTGTTACAACAGAAAAGAGCAGAGATATGTGGTAACAGTGCTGGACTGATTCTTTTTAAATATAACTAAATAACAGATCACTTAATTTTCCAGATGTATGTTACAGTACTTGTTAAGAGCGAAATCCCTGCTTGTTAGCATTATTCTGATACTGAAGATGGTGCCGTTTCTGAAACTCACTCTTCTAAATGCAACGAGTCTTATGCTGTTTTTGACTACAGCATGAAACATTTAGTGCAGTCCCTGTATATATATGACTGAATGGGAAGACTCCCAAGATACGGCTAACGATCAAGAAGGCTGACTTCAGTGGAGGTAACAAAACTAGAGGGTAAAAATTAAGAGGAAAATTGAAGTCCAATAGAAGGAAAGATTACCAGGACACTTGATTAGTGGCAGACAGACAATCTTGGGTGAGGAGGAAAGAAAGACCAAATGTACACAGGGAAAGGAGAGTTAGACCCTGGTGCAACACAAAGGAGGGGCAAGAAATCTTATCAGTATGAAGCTAATTAGAGCAGGAAATGGAACAGGTATTGGTTTTTCTTGAATTCTCAATTAAAGCCTGTCTTAAGTTCTCAAAATACCAAAAATAATTCCACTTGTTACATATCTATGTTAACTTCCTAAGACCCGAACTCTTCCACGGCATGCATTTTTAATTCCCCTTTGATATTTGTGCTGCTTGGGACCCGATGAATGTAAAAACAAAGAATGAACAGATTTTTTTTTTGACCTAAGAAAAAAGAGAGCCACATATGAGGATATTTGTTTAAAATGTCGATAGAACAGTAGCAGTATAATGTCCTTGTAAGTGGATATCAGGCCCTTGTAGAGCAAAATTGAGTATTTTGGTCTAAATAACCCAAAATGTGATGTCCACATATGTGGACGCCAGGTCCTAGGAGGTTAAACAAGCTTTTTTCCACAAAGGGGACAAAGTCAAAACAATGTTTTTATCACTATTACAGCTAATTTGTGCTTTCTTGTGCATTTTTTGGCCATTTTGTGACACATGTGGACCTATTTCATGCATACTGAGTTCACTTCATTCACTCCTCTGTTTGAATACCTGCGGTAGATCAGCAGGATCCATACCACCATTTCCAAAGCGATGAAGTTGCACATACAGTATTTACACACAAGATGCACTGACCTTTACTGACAGAATGTTTTTCTATTCTAAGTACTCAAAGCACTCTTTACTACAAGCAACATAATACCCATTGATATTCCTCTATACCCACTTATGCACACACAGTGATGGATAAATCAGGTGCAGTATTTTCAACATGTAGACTGAAGGAGCCAGGGATCTACCTCCTGGGCATTGGCACGTACCAACAGAAGCACCCTGTGTTATTGTTGGCACGTGCCAGAACAGCATTGAGAGCAAAAGGTAAACCAGCTCTAACACCACATCAGAATCCAGACCTTTATTCACAGCAGATGTTTCTTAAAATGGGATTTCAGAAACCTAAATAAGAGTTGAGTCCACATGTAAAAATGGTCTTTAATGTAAAAAATTCCACCTGTGCTTTTCCTGCATCAAAATGTTTGCCCTGAATAACCCACCTGGAGCAGTTCATTGACTGCACGTGACTCATGAAAACTCATTTCATGCTTGTTTTATGCTTTGTAGACAGCAGAATGAGTGGAAATTCTTGTCATATTTTTTTTAGTTTTAAATGTTTTATGAAAATAAGATAGGGACAGGAATAAAAAGGACTAAAAATAAAAAGATAGAAAACAAAAACAAGAAAACGATATCTATGTCCATGCGATTGATTGAGATGAAAACATCCAGTTGTACAGTTAGTGCTATACAGTTATAGCTATACAGTGTATAGTTAGTTACATTTCTCAAGGATTGATGAAAGCACTCAACATAAGAGGAGAAAAACACGAAAAACCAATGTTTGTGAGTGTGGCTCGTTTTACTGCTTCTCCAATAACTGATGAAAACATCGGCACCAGAATGTTTATCACTTCGGGTTTGTTTATAAGGAAGCCAGGAGTGAAAGGAGGAATGTTACGAGCTTTAAACTGTGGACACATGACCTTGGTGTTTGTGTCCTCGAAACGTATTGGAAAAGCTGATAAACTACTTTTGTACTGGTTGCTAAATGTTTGTGTGTTCACTCCACAGGGTGAACCAGAACCCTTTGAGGAGACCAACGTGGACCGTCTGATGAGCTCTCTGGGTTATGGAGGTGGATCTACTGGCACTGGGAACGGCAGCTTAGGGGTGAAGGCTCACCGTGGCTCCGACTCCTCCACACTCAGCTCCCAGCCATCCATTGACGAGGTCCGTACGCAGATGCACATGTTGCTAGGCAACGCTTTTAGCCTGGCACCCCCGGACCATGACCCTCCTTCTCCTCCAACCAAGTAAGTTTTTAGTTTTCACTGAAAACTCTTTTCTTTTATAACATCTGCATAATTTACAGTACTGTGTGGGAAAGAAAAGAGAGAGGTCCCCTGATAGGCACTTTGAACATACATCCCACTCCCAAGCTGTTTCTCAAAATCACAGCAGTTTTATCTGATGTCTGCTTGCCTATGCAGTGTGCGCTGGAGCAAGACTAGAAAAATAAAGAGACAGTAGGTGTGTGTGTGTATTGACTCGATTTCATTTTTTTTCTTCCTCTCTCACAGCCATCACCATCATCATCACCACGCTCACAGCGCCTACAACCCTTCCAGCACCAGCCACTACAGTGACGGAGTGACCAGTGCCCCCGGAACCATGAACCACCCCTGTGGAGGCAGGCAGAGAAGCATAGGCTATGAGGACATGCACCAGTGTAGCCTGCCCAAACCAGTAAGCACTTAAAGGAAGATTAAGGCTTAGAAAAATACAATTAAAGCTATGCCTTTCCAATAACTTCACTGTTACCCATCTGTTTTTAATAGGTTCTATTTTTGAGTAGAAAGTAGTTCCAATAAAAACCAACACATTTATAGCACTGTCTAAAATTGGAATCAAGGTCTGGTAATAACAGGGTGTAATAGTTTTAAAGAAATTTGCATTTCAGGAACTTTACCTTTTGATAATACTCTGACACTCTCACGGAGCTCAAACTAATCTCATGCCAAGGATGACCAATCCTCAGTGATCTCATAAACAAGATCAAGCCTCTCTGAATATTTCAGCTTTCATGTGGCAATTAACCGGGCCTTTCATGTGTGTTGACTTTAATTAGAGGACCTAGGGATGTTTTTGTTGCTTCAAACTGTCTGTCTGTCCCCTGAGTTTAAGTACCAGCAGCATCAAACAGCAGCAGGATCCATACGAGCATCTCCAAAGCAAGAAGAGTTGAACACATTCATGCACAAGGCAAACAGCAGTAAAATAGGTGGATCGGATCTTATGGAAAATCTATATCTGTACTTTTGTCCAATTCAGGCAGGTGACTCATCACAAACATGGTCATAGTTTAGCAGCTACAGCGCTTGAGTTGATTGCTTACCTCTGTGACAGGTATCAATATATTCTGATTTTAGTAAGTAAGAAAGTCTTCAGTAAGTCTGATTTCTGGAAAGCCAGAATTTTTTGTTTTATTTTTTGTATTTTTCTGTTAGAATTTGAAGGCTCACAGTATTTGGAGTATTGATTTTTGGATCCCATAGCTTTATATAGTAGATTCATCACTTTTCTAACCATTACCCACCAAAATGCAGCCACAGGCAACCTAGCAACTTAACTTATTGCTGATAGGTTTAAGTTGTTAAGGATTTTCACCAGTCAGGCAATTATAAATAAATTAATAAAAAGATTTAGGCTCAACATTAATGAACAATTTAGAATAAAACGAGTAAAGAGGGTGTCTGTGTGGACCTCAGGCTTTAGGTACACTGTAGCACCTTTCCTCTTGAGTGCTTAAGTGGTCAATTCACCCAAATAGCTTAAAGTGACTATTTCCTGAATAACCTCTGGTTATAGGCATATTAGTCCTAATATGTGTTAGTAATGTGAAGTCCACTGCCTTCAGCTATGAGACTGAACCAAAACATAGAAACATACCGTCTGAAAACCCAAAGTAAATAATTGAAAGCTACAAATGAATGAAAGAAATGTTTACACACCAAAGATGCTCAAACAGAAAATTGGAGACATGGATAGTGATTACATTACAAAGATAATGATGACACCTTACACACAGTAATTTCTTCCAGTAATTTGTCTCCAACATGCATTAAAGCACTTGAAGTATAAAAAAGAAACGCCGCATAATGGATGAGAATGTTTAATATTTAGCTTTATTATGCCAGCAAATAGATACGTAAATCCCCAAAGACCTTGATAAGGTCATGCATGTGTAGTAAATATTTGCTCATGTGGGGTAATTATCTATACTCGTGTAAGTCACATTGCATTATCTGCCAGATGACTAAACAGCTAAACTGGCTGCATGCAAAAGTTAAAATGCTGGCACCAAGAAACCGACACCGAGAATTTGGACGGTCAAACTGCGTGCCGTCACCAGCTGCTCTGCAAGGAGAACCTTGAAAATGATTAAAGAAACTGAGGACTGAACGCCTTCCAACAAATAAAGTTGCCGCTTGATTCTGAATCTGTGTTTGATCTTTCTGTTCCGCTCTGATCAGATATCCCCCTGGTTTCCTTACCCTATTTATTTCTTCTTTTTCACTTTGGATTAAAGTTGTTTTGTGTTCATACTGAGCTGAACAGATCTCTAAATTGCATTTGTGGCTCCTGCAGGGTTTCCGGTTCACCCAGCTTCCTGATATGGGCATCGGTTCTCCACCTCCACTGATCCCCTCAAGACCAGGACCGCCACCTGCGACCTCACTGCGACGGTACTACGCACATTTATATAATCAAACAGTCAAACACATTGCACTTCGTATATGGAAGGGAAAAGATTTTTAAATCCTAAAATAAGGAGAAAAAACATAAAAGCAAGAAACACTCAGTCCCTACAGTGAAAGATAAAAACAAGCACAGTGTTGAACATGTGGCCCATAAATATATTTAGACATCAAACTTGAAGGAAATGCTCACATATGGCATTTAAAAGTACTCTGAGATCAGTCCTCAGCCAGTCACATGGCAGCACTGGGGCTTATTACTGGATCAGACAGGTAGTGGAGAGTACACTGGAGAATACACAAAATGTATCAGAATTTTAATCAGCATCATTTCAAGAGTGCCCTCCACGTACACCCTCTGTTTGTGCCGCTCACTTCTCTCTCTTAGGCCCATATGCTAGTCTGCATCATTTGAACTGAACATTCTTCTTCATTTGAATGCTGCTGCTGTGTGCACTGTGTTGCTGGGCACTTTAGCACTGCAGAGAGTGATTGAGCCTGTTGGTTAGCAGTGAGGAGCACTCTCGCCATCTAGTGGGCAAAATAAATAATTAACACTTGTGGGAAAAGAAGGTGCTGCAGAGTGGCAGGAAAAAAAAAATCAGTGTTCTGCAATAAAATAAAATAAAAAGACAAACTATAATTTACAATCAATCTACTTATAAAAATATAATTATATATATATATAAATATAGATGTATTTATATATTTATTTAAAATGTTCTGCTTGACAGAGACAGCTTTTAGTTGGACTTCTCTAATTACTGCTAATTAAATTTTCAGATATGGCCACGGGTATGTGACCATTATTCTTGCTTATTACAACCAGAAACAGTCATATTATGGCGGTTAATCAGTCAGCTCGTCACACATCAGCTCCACTGTGCTCCCAGGGAGAAAGAGTGCAGCATGTTAATCCCTCTTTGCTATGCACTGTGAGGCATTAGTGCGCACAGTGCATCATGGTCCTGAGATGTGCCAGTGACATCATCTGTCCTCCGGTTCTTTACTGTAGTTAACATGCACTGTAACACGTGTCTGTACGATGAAGAGGATGGTGCTTCAGTGCAGAGGTGGAGAAAGAATATGACTGCATGGAGAGCTCTAATAAGGCTCAAGGTGACAGGATGGGATTTATGATCCGTGAGGTCATGTGTCCTTCACTGCAGTGACCCAGAATGCCTGGAAATTTCAGCCAGATGTTGAAAACAAGTCTGGGAACCTCTGTACTGTGCATGAAAATCCCCCCAGAAGCTGTCATAGGGCAAGAGGCAGGTTATACGCCAAACAGGTCACTAGTCTGTTGCAGGGCTAACTCACGGAAGTCTTTGGAAGCCCAGAGTTCCCATGCAGACACAGGGAAGAACATTCGAAGTGTATACAGAGAGAACAGTCTGGATTTGAACTCAAGACCTTAAACCTTTCTGAACTTGCTATCAGTACCATAGTCTGATGTGACTTAAGATGAAAAGATGTCTGATGGACTTTATTCTTGTTTTATAGATTACTAAAGATTTTATATCTTTTTACGTTGTGTAACTATGTCTTTTCCCATAATATTTAATTAAAGCTGCAAGCCATTTCTACAAACATGTTTCCTGTATCTTTGTTAAACCGTGTTTAACAAAGATCAATATTTGTTTGGTTGGGTTTTTTTCCAAATGGTGCAGATTTGACTGATACAGATGAAATTCGGGCTGTATATAAAAGAGAGACATAACTACCATCATATCACTCATTGGTTTATGACTGCATTTTGAAGCCTCACAGCCAACTCTGTTTTTTTATTATTTAAAGTATCAGACAGCTAAGTCTAAATGCAGCATCTGATAAATAATGGTAAATAGTTAGAAAGTAAGGAAGGGAGATTCGACTCACAACAAGCCAAATTATGTTATTTAAGGTTTTGTCATATTATAATATTCAGTTTTAATACTCAGTTTATTATGTTATAATATATTATGTGTACAGTGATGTCTCTGATTTGTTAACTCCAACTGAATTTAAACTGCTTTTATTGCTCACTCTTGAACTCTGTAACTCTGTTGATGGGCTCGACATCAAATCAGATTCCAGTTGCTATTATTTTTTGCTCTTCTGCCAACAGCTTTTAAACTCGGGTTTCAAACGTTTTCAGTTTCTCTTAACTGCTTTATTGAATTGTGTCCTGTGGACACAAAAAAGCTCTAGTTGTTATTTGCAGGTGTCTGTTTGCTGTACATCGGGTTGATTTCTGCCTCTCCTCTCCACTGACAGTTCCACCCCTGATGTTAGTCTGAAGCCTCGCGTGTCAGAAGCCTCAGAGCTGCAGGCCCAGCAGCACAATGGTGCCCCCTACCTGCCACTCTCCAGGACCCCCTTCCCCGCTGTCACTGTTGACCAGTCCATCAGCACCTACTCAGGTACGACACACTGACAGGACGCTGAATTTCTATTGATACGTTATTTCCGTTCAATCTAAATCTATTTACATCTCACAGGAAACCCAATAACAGCAGTCTACGCTATATCGGCCAACCGCCCAGGTTACTCAGACTACTTCGTCATGTCACCGCCATCCTCATACCGGAGTCCATCATGGATGTCTTATCCACCTGAACCAGAAGACCTGCCGCGGCAATGGAACGACGCACCTGTGAGACACTGTTTTGCTTTTTTTAAGTACACAACGTGCTGTGAACACTTTGCAGAAAGTTTCAGTGTGTGTGAAGCACTTCCCCCACTTCTTCCCGCAGAACTCACGTCACCTCGAGACCATCTGCTGAAGTCGTCCGCCTGTGACACTGAGTGGAAACGGTCAGTAGCTCGGTGGGTCACTTTTTCTCTGCTCTGCAGTCTTATACTGTCGT